AGAACTTAGCCAGATGATGAGGCTAATGATGACAAGGCATTGAATTTGGAATCTGCAGAATAAAACTCTACATCTGGCTGAACCATTTATGCTAAGATAAATGGTATCATATTTGGAAAAAAAAAAGACTCTCAAGTTGCCTGATATCTTTTGTCTTTGAGGTTAAAAACAACTTTTATATTATTCTATTATGGATGGCAAAGAAGCAATTTGGAATCCAATGTTTCCATACTTTATGATGAATAAAATGCTACAAACCCTATTAAGCATATTAAAAATTAGCCATTTTCACAACTCTAATTTTTTAAAGGCACATTGGGATACCAGCCAAGCACAATAGTTTGTACATAGTCATTAAATGTGTGCATCGGCTTCGAAGATACATTGAAGAGAATAGGGGAATGGATTAGGAAAACAATTTTTTATAGTATCTTGTAATTCATATCTTTTATAAAGTCAAAAATAGTTTTGAAAATCCTGTAGAGCATATGCTATTTATAGACCTATGGCCAGCTTGTCAGATGTAATGGTTTTCTCATATTGGTCATTAATCTTGGTTTCAGCAATAATTGCAGAGCACCATAAATTCCAAATACCCATGGAATTTCATGGTCTGAAATTATTCTGCAATTTAATGCTCTAGCATTAAAAATAGACCAAGAATTCAAGAATTTGTTTTCTTTTAATCAGTTGCAATGTAAAATGTTTATGAATCTCAATCTTGAAAAACTATTTTAATATGATGAAATATTTTGGAATACTTTAAAAAGCCCTAACAGGATTGAATTACATCTTTTATACTAGAATCAACAGAGGAACTTTTTAAAAAGCCATATTTAGCTGCAAAGTTTTACAAGATTATGTTTAAGGTGCAATTGAAATCACCTTCCAGATGTCTCATTTATAGAAGATGACTGGTTCATCCATGAATCACCAATATGTCACTCTGCTTCCGCATTGAAGTTTTATGCAAACTAAGGAAATACCAAAGTCCTCTGTTCTCTTGAGTCTTTTATTATAAGATCCACTCAGTCTGTATGGCCTTTTGATAATGAAAGCCAGCATGAGAAGATAGGCCATGCTTTGAATGGGGTCGACATCTTAGTAATTGGCCCTAATCACTTTGGAATATTATATCCCAGGTTTAGGCTTCTTTCCATCTTCCATATTTTATTCATCAATCATGGTTTCTGTCATAACTTGGCTAGAGTCTCTGGAATGCTGTATATTGTTAAAACAACCCTACATTTCCTGAAATAGACCCTCTATGTATCCTACAGTAAAGAAGTCTTTGGAGAAGGTCTTTCTTGAGTGAAGTTGTAGAGAAAAAACATACTCTTAGCTTAATAATGATCATATGTTAAAAATCTATGACATATAATTTCTTAAAATCCTTTGATAAATCAACAATTTTTATTGCATATGACTGTTTCAATTAAATAATGAGGAAAATTTCACATTATCTGACAGAAAGATGATGATACAATAGAAGTATTATCTTGCATCAAAAGCTGTTCAGTTGAGGGGTGCCTGGGTGGCTCAGTCGGTTAAGCGTCCGACTTTGGCTCAGGTAATGATCTCATGGTTCGTGGGTTCGGGCCCCACGTCAGGCTCTGTGCTGACAGCTAGCTCGGAGCCTGGAGCCTGCTTCAGATTCTGTATCTCCCTCTCTCTGACCCTCCCCTGCTCATGCTGTCTCTCTCTCTCCCAGAAAAAAAAAAAAAAAAAAAAAAAACTTTAAAAAAAGCTGTTCAGTTGGGACATCACAGTATTTTTAATTCAGAACTCAGGATAAACAACTGAACATATTTTTATAACCTTCTGGAGACTCTTAAGAGTTATTATTGATCAAACATTGATCTTTCTGTGGCTTTACAGATAGAACTCAAAGACTTCAGCACTGAATGAAATTGTCTTCATTTAGACCTGGGTAAGAGGAGCTCTCTTGCCACGGACTCAGAACATAAAGGGCTACTCATATCACAAGTTGCACTTATTAAATTTAACAAAGAGGAAAATGGGCACTTCCTCAGTGATACAGCATAATGTGTAACATTTATGTCAGTATCACTCTCTTGGCTTTATACTCTTCAGGTACCAAGGGAATATTTTTTCCATGTGTTGTTCTCTGTCCTCCAGAGAAAGGTGGTGACATCATCTTGCTCTCAGTGTCATGAAGGTTTATGGTTTTTTTCCTCTGCTGGCAGGAGAGACATACATGGCTCATACATTAAGAAGGCGTGTTTGTTGAGGCTGGGAAATACAACGTACTTTAAGTGTTTGTTAGCTTGATTTATAATTTTTAAATGGTTAGCCTCTATTTGTACCTTTGCCTCAATGTTCACCTTCATATATCTGATTTCTCTTCTCTTGATAATCTCTGCTCCTAGCATCTGTCTCTATAGACACTGTACCCATTTTGAAATGCTTGTAGCTCGCTCATTTCTCACTGGCCACTTCTTTTCTTAGAATATCTCTACTTTGTCGTCTGAATGAAATTCTGTTGTATTCAAGATTCTATTCAAGTGTTAACACCTCTTTAAAATTTTCTCAAGCCTCCCACATTTCAACACAGATTGATCAAAAATAACACTTAAAATATGAAATGCTAATATTAAGTGTTAATGTTAAGTCATAAAATACTGCAGGCCAAAAAATAAGTGCTGGTTTCTATATGTATATAGTGCCTAGGACATAGTAAGAGTTCAATATGTTTGCTATTGTTATTAGTTCATGTTAAACTTAACTATCCTCCATCTTCTTCCCTCCCCTGCACACACTCTAGATTAGCTAACTCTTTTACATAAGTTTAGAGCATTCTGTACTCCCATATTGGCCATTATACACTTGACTAAAATTTCTCTTTCTCAGTCTATCTCATTCATTCTTTTAAGCCAAGCATCTGGTATAAAAGTGAATTAATGAATTAGTATCCAGAGGGAAAGTAAGAGGTGAGATTTGGAAAGATATGTGACAGTCTGGAATAAAGAAGTAGGTATAAAGATGATAGATTACATTAAGCAATTTTTAAAGGAAACTTTAAAAGATATAAAGAATATAAAATAAATATTTAAAAAGAAAAATAAAGGACATTTGAGGGATTTACTTAGACGTCCCAAAGGATTATTCATCAGAAAGTGGTAGAGAATTGTTAAATTAATGAGTTCACCCCCATCATTTGACTCCAGCTCCATTAGAAATATTCAACTGCCTGACATCGACTGTAAAGACATTTTTTTCCCAAAGTTAATGTGCCTTGTTTTCTTCTTCAGGAAAAACAGTCTCAGTTAAACCTGAGGTAATTCTATTTAGTGTAATAATTGGTGCCTAATAATGTCAAATATTTGCTTTAAGCACAACAATATAATTATAAAAGTAAACATAAATATTCTGGAAAAAGAAGTTTGATATAGAAATTGCAATGGAGGTTTAGGAAACCATCCTTACTCTGATCAGCTTTTATTTTATTTATTTATTTATTTATTGATTGATTGATCAGCTTTCATTTTTATTTTTGAAGTTTATTTATTTATTTATTATTATTATTTTTTTAACCATGAAAGCAAAAAGTTCATTCATGTTTGAAACTACATATAGCTACCACGAGGAAGACTTTTTCAATCCAGGGTGTAATCCAGTTAGAAAGGAACACGAAACATTTTTAATACATTAGAATCACCGCCACAAATTATTTTCATGACTCAATCTGTTTCAGAATCGCATACAATACAAAATGAGAGAAAGGAGGGGGGCCCCATTACACAGGGTGAAATATACGGTACTGAATACTGAAATCTGAATGCATCACAATTAGCCGCCACCTTTTTTTTTTCTTTTTTCTTTTGCATGGAGTAGTAACAAGATGAAGGACATTCAAAATGCTTTCTCGGTATTTACAATGGTTTTGCTGATCCTGTGTTAATTGAAGACCCGATGTTTCCACTCTTGGTTTTTTTTTTAAAAGTTGCAAATGCAACCCTGATTTTTCTTTTAAAAGACTACAATGTACATTACATTTTGTGAAGGGAAACAAAGAGTTACTTACAAGATGCCAAACGGTAAGAAAGAGAGAAACTACAGCGTGAGTTCAGAGGTAGTAAGTGAGCACTCTAAGCTACAGAACAAGTGGAAATTCTACTGGTTTGTATGAGTTCGCATGAGGTAATAAAGCTGTGTTTTGATTGGTGAGATGTATAAATACTCTTTTGCTACACTATATACAACACTCAGGAGAGCAGGGCCTTCGTGGATGCCCAGAGGTCGTAGCAAACCTTGACAAGCCTGTGCAGCACCCAGTGCACACCGTAGAGCCCCAGACGGACCTCGCGTTCACCTCTATCAGCAGCAAGGGTCTTCATCTGTCAGAACAATCTGGACCCATAATTTAATTACTGAGCAGACTCCGGGCACTGGTGCTTCCAGAGAGAGAAAAGATGCTACCAGTCTCTGATCTAATTATAACGTAAGAGATCGAAACACAAACTTGACAAGGAAGATTCTTAAACAAACCATCCTTAGCAGAGAGAGCCAAACAGCTCCTTTATTCCAACCCCATTAGCGATATGAAAGAAAGACAATCAAAGTCCGCGATGGAAAAATGCGAGAAATTAAATTTAGGTGAGGTGAATCTTTGCATCTGCTCTAACGATTGAGGTTTAGCATATATTGTACTTTTTACCCTTAAGGCCAAGTAATTGGCAACTGTAAAACCATTAATGTAAAATATTGATAATAAAGTATGATAAAATAGCTACAGGACTGTCAACAATGTTAAATCTTGCCCTAATTGGATAAAGTGCCTTTTTAACATTGTGTGTTTTTAAGTATAAACACAAATGATTATGATTCCTTTAAAAAACTGATTTACCAAGTTCTCTAATAAGACAAGGTTTTACAGTAAAGCTGTAGATGGTGGGCTACAAAAACGCTTTCCTTTTCCTCCTATTGCTCTGAATGCACTTAGCAAGGCATGTCAGCTCGGGGAATAGTGTTGCCGGAGATTAGTTAGAGGTATCAGAGTGCACACTTCCCGGGCCTTCTGTAGGGGAAGTCACAGAAGGTGGAGTTGTTGCATCTTGCCAGCCTCCATTAGCATTTAAATTATGTGGACTGTACAGTGAGTTTCCCCCAAGGCCATCACTGTAGCCTCCCATCTGATTGATAACAGGACGGAGGGTATCCACCTGTGACTGCACATTGGCACGGACTTGGGACCCTTGGTAAGAATCCCCATTCTTACTCTGCGTGTTCATGAACATGTCCCCAGAATTTGGGAGGTTAAAGGAACCAGAAGAACCAGAATTTGGCGTGGTGGGTGAGTTGGTCTGGGTGTCCTGCACGGCTGCGGCTACTGCGTGCGCGGCCGTCACAGCTGTCTTCGCCGCATAGAGGTTGGCTTCTTCCTGAAACTTGCCCATATTCTTCTTGTACCTGATTCGTTTGTTCCCAAACCAGTTGGATACCTGTGACACTGTGATGCTGCATTTCTTGGCCAGCTCCTCTTTGGCTTCTTCACTGGGGTAGGGGTTACTGAGGTGTGAGTAAAAATATTCATTCACGATTTCGGTGGCCTGTTTACTGAAGTTACGCCTTTTTCGTCTGGCATCAAGGAACCTTGATCTTAAAATCATAACTGCTTCACAAGTGCTTTGTTTGAGCTGCATCTGAATGGAAGTAAATTTTCGATGGATGATGCCCACCATTCTTTCCATTTCGTTTGGGGAATTTCAATTTCGTTGGGACGTGTTCTACTCTGCTCTCGGAGAGGATTCATCACATGTGTAGTGAATTCATTACATGCCTGTTCATACTTCTCCAGTTTTGTGTGATAGATTTGTCTGATCTGGGTCAATTTGGCTCTGTAATCTGAGTGCTCAATAGAGTTATCTGAAGAACCTCCAGAGGCTGCCGCGGCTGCAGCTGCTGCCGCCGATCCCCCACCTTTCTCAGGACCTGAAACCCCTTCTGCCAAAAGCATATTGTCCAGTCTCATTAGCTGGGGGTCGGGAGAGTCCTCCTCCTGGGCTCCTCTGATGCTGAGACCTGTTTTCTCTTTGATCTCACACAGGACGCTGAAGAGCATGGGTTTCATTCTGTGACAGTTCAGGGCATGTTTCCAGGGAACCGCCCATCGCCCCACGCCCACTGGGCTGGGGCTGCCTCGTCCTGCGAGCCCGAGCCCGGTGCCGCGACTCCCCTATCTATTTATTTGAAAGAGAGAGAGTGAGCACAGAAGAGGGAGGGACAGAGAAAGAGAGAGAAAATCTCTCCCTTGATGTGGGACTTGAACTCACAATGAGATTCGGACCTAAGCCAAAATCAATGGTCAGATGCTTAACCAACTGAGCCACCTAGGCACCCTATGATCAGCTTTTATATGGATTTAGCAAAACTATGGCTTTAGCTGATAACATATCTTAAAAAGACATCACTTCTGGATAGCAGAGAAATACAGTTTATTTCTATGCCAACATACTGGTAAACAATGAGATAGGTGGTAGCCAACACAATCTAGTTTCTTCGGATTGGCATTATTATTCATTAGGTTTTTTAGCTGAGTCATGGGGAGTATCTCACATGTTTCTGGCAACAGAATTCCTCTTTTTACAAAACACCTTTGTGCACTCCAGAAAAATATTGGAATATACTGATTGAAATGACAACTGTAATTATTGAGATTCAGTAAAAACTCTTCTCTTTTATACCTTAGGTCCCTGATTTACAAAATAGTAAGTTTATTTTATCTTTTGAACTATTTCCCTTTCTTTAAATTTAGTTATAACTGACCAACTACATTAAAAATCAAGAAATAGATCTCCATTTATAAAAAAAAAAAAAAGACTGATAGTCTTACTCTAGGGCTGGTGAAAATTAGCAGTAAAAACGCAGCAAGGATATAAACATGTTATAAATCAATTAAGTCAAATCTTCTAAAGTCTGTTATGTTCAATAATCAGTCTTAGTGAGATTTTAAGTCTATAAGTATTAGAAGAAAACACTGAAGGTCGGATAACATAATTATATTACCGTTAATAGCTTTTTAAAAAGTTTTTTCTTTGGGAGCTCATTATCCTGAACAAAATTACAAACCGTATTAGAAAGCACTTCCATCTCAGTTGAAAATTCTTTAAAATATACTACAAAGAGCTAGGTAAGGTAGGCAAATTTAACTGTTTTAACCCTCTAATTACATTTCTACTATCTGTGCTTCCACACACTCGTGAACTAGCCCAGTGAAATCACACAGAACTGCTGCTGTATGGCTAACACACATAATTCACATATGTGACACAACTAGTCTACAAAACGTTGATACATTAAACAGCAGAGGGATTAAAATTTTAAACCATGTTAAAGGACGTAGTAGAGAAAACATCTGGAAAAGAACAGGTTGATTGAAATAGACCTGCATGGATTCAGGAATGGAAGGTTATATTAAACTAATCTCCAAAAGAGCTCTGAGAGTATTACAGCCAAAAGAGACAAACGCAATTCAGGGATGTAATACATGCAGATTTTCAAGGATCACATGAAAATATGGAGCTTAACATGAGTCTAGCAATGCATTATCCTTTCTTTTTTCTTTTCCATTGTTTTCAATTTAAAATACATATGGATAGGCAGAAGCAGCTATATTCACTTGGGAAATATTTATTGTGTGTACTCTGTGCCAGGCAGGTACTGAGAGTAGAGGAAACCAGTGATGTATCTTCAACCCTGAGACTCCAGAATCTAATCTGAGAGCCAGACAACTGCCCTGACCATAGAGCAGAGAAACACTAACCCAGACTGAGGTTTTGCATGATCTGCTTGAGATGTTTAAGGGGAATTTGAGTTTTAATACTAAAGATGAGGATAATCTTCATTCCTGTCCAATGGCAAAGAAATACATACATATACATATGTATATACGTGTGTGTGTGTGTGTGTGTGTGTGTGTGTGTATGGTTTTCTGCGGGAACACTATGTAGAAAGAAAAAATAAATAACAGAATTTTAAAGCAAAATATTATGTACATTTTTTTTAGTTATTTCTACAGCAGCTTTATCTGTCTTAAAATTACCTTAAACCCTATTGAACAGATGAGTCATTTAATCAGACTGGTGACTACAGTTATTACTTCTAGCTACATGTTTCATGTCAAATCATGGAACTATGTAGCCATAAAGAAATCTTGCCATTTGCAACAATATGGGTGGATCAGAGGGTATAACGCTAAGTGAAATAAGTCACTCAGAGGAAAACAAATACCATACGATGTTACTCACATGTAGAATTTAAGAAACAAACCAAATGAGCAAAGAAAAAAAGAGACAAACAAACAAAAAGACTCTTACATACAGAGAATAAATTGGTGGTTGCCAGAGGGGAGGTTCGTAGTGGTGTAGGGAGAGACAGGTAAAGTAGGTGAAGTAGATTAAGAGTCCGCTTATCATTATGAGCACTGATGGCTGAATGTACAGAATTGTTGAATCATTATATTGTATACCTGAGACTAATATAACACTGTATGTTAATTACACTTGAATTTTAAAAATACATATGGTTTTAAATCATGGAACTATACAGCTAGAGAGAATCACAGTAAACTCCGGTTCAGAGAAACTTGGGAGTTTGTTCTTTAATACAAAACAACCATCTTTTTATGGTCAAATAGTCTAGAAATCAATGGACTAAATGAAGGTAAACACGTTTTTCTCCTGTAAGAATTCTCAGTGTTTTTACTCTACCAATGTGTATTGTATTTTCTGTAAAAAGATAGCATTTCCCAAACTTCTTTGACTAAGAATACTTCATGAGGAATATTAATTTGAAAACTCTTTGTAAATATCACCTTAGCCCAACTAATTAGTAAAGACAGAATTAAGATTCAGTGAGTTAAGTGATTTATGCAGCCAACTTTATGAGCCAAGACTAAGAACAGAGCTTTTAGATTTTCCGTTTGGCACATGTTCTTCCAAACCATGGTCTTCAATTTGTATACACATATCTCTGAAAGCAGGTTTTCCAGACTTATGCAGGCACAGAAAGTTTAAAGGGAATCTAGCTTCAGATTTGTTTCTTTTATTTTTTTTATTTTTTTAATGTTTTATTTATTTCTAGGAGAGAGAGAGAGACAGCGTGAGCAGGGGAGGGTCAGAGAGAGAGAGGGAGTGACAGACTCTGAAACAGGCTCCAGGCTCTGAGCTGGCAGTCAGCACAGAGCCCGACGCGGGGCTCGAATCCACGAACCGCGAGATCATGACCTAAGCGAAAGTCGGACGCTTAACCGACTAAGCCACCCAGGCGCCCCCAGATTTGTTTCTTAAAATTGATCTGCTTAAGAACAAGTCTGGGGACTGATCACAAGGGCAAGCTTACTCTCTCCTTCCCTATATCCCCTTCTGCAATGGAACATTGGAGGGAGTGATTTCCTTTAAGGGAAAAGCAGTATGACTTTAAGGAATTTAGCTGGCTGCCATTGGCTATCCACAGAATTAGGAATAAGAATAGCAAACTAAGATCTTGTTACTTCAGCTTACACAATATTAGTCTCATTAATGTAATAGCTATCAATACCCACAGAAACTTATTAAATTTTGATAGCAGTAGCTACCTATGTGCCATTGATTGTTTATGATCAATTAAATACCTTTTATAAATCATTATATTGCAGCTTACATACCAGCAGCTTTTATATGTGTACACAATACCTTTCTATTATTTTGAGTGAACTATCTGTGGGTCTAAGGCCAACCTTTCCATGCATGTACTAAATCTCTTCCTCTCTTATCTACTGTAAATAGAACAGCATTTCTGCCTTTCTCTTCTTGTCTCCTGCATCTGAATATTTTTGCATTTGATTGGATTTCTTATCAGCACACTCCCATACTATTTTCTCTCATATTAAAAACAATCCTCTCTTGAGCCCACTTGCTTTGCCAGCTACTTCTCGATTTTTTGCTCCCCTTTATAGCAAAGCATTTCAAGAGTCACCCACACACACTGTCTGTTTTCTTTCTTCTCTTATTCTCTACAAAATGAATTCCCATGAATCTTTGATCCCTATAACGCAAAGCTATTCTTGTCAAGGTCACCAAAGTCCTCCACATTAATAAATCTAATGGATAATGCTCAGCCTTTATCTTATTTGAGGACATTTGAAATGGTTGATGACTTCCTTCTCTTTGACCTACTTTCTTCACTGGGCTTCTAGAACACTACATTCTCCTGGTTTTCTTTGTGTCTCCGTTGCTACTCCTTCTCAGTGTCCTTAGCTGGATCCTCCTCACATTCCTAAACTCTTGATATTAGAGTACACAGGGCTTTCTTGTTTATCTTCTCATGTATAAACACTCTTCTTGTGATCTCATCCAGTCCGATGGCTTTAAATACTATCTATATACACATGACTTCCAAACTTCTATATTGCCATCTAGATTCTTCTTCTTGGTTTCCAGACTTATATACTGGAATATCTACTTGAAATCTCTACTTTGGTATCTAAAAGGCATCTCAGAGTTTAAATTTCCAAATACTGCTCTTCCAGTCTTCCCCTCCAATTGTCTTTTACTTTTTCTATTTGCATTAATGATAAGTCAATCCTTCACTGTTTCATCCTTGTCTCTTTTTGTAATCATTAAAAAAAACAATTTTAAATATTTATTATTGAGAGATCGAGAGAGACAGAGCATGAGCAGGGGAGGGGCAGAGAGAGATGGAAACACAGGATCTGAAGTAGGCTCCAGGCTGAGTGTCAGCACAGAGCCCGATGTGGGGCTCAAACCCATGAACTATGAGATCATGACCTGAGCCGAAGTCTGATGCTTAACGGACTGAGCTTCCCAGGTGCCCTTCATCCTTGACTCTTTTCCTTCTCACATTTCATGCCTAATACCATTGAGAAATCTTCTAAGCTTAAATTTCAAAATGTCCCCAAACTATGACCATTTCTTACCACTCCCACTGCTACCATTCGCATTCAAGAAACTATTATCTCTTGCTTAGACTTTTGTTTCTACCTTTGTACTCCAACCCTATAATACTTCCCCTTCCCTCATCTAAAATCTGTCACAGCAGCCAGGCATATCTTGTTAAAATGTCTGCTCAAAACATTTTTATGGCTGTTTA